CCCTCCCCAGCCCCATAATCTGACATGTCCTGGACCCTCCCCAACCCCATAATCTGACATGTCCTGAACCCCTCCCCAGCCCATAATCTGACATGTCCTGGACCCCTCCCCAGCCCATAATCTGACGTGTCCTGGACCCATCCCCATAACCCCAGACCCTTGACTGAAGGCAGCAGAGGACAGAGGTGAGACCCCACTCCTGACCTTTCCTGCATGGCTGGAAAAGTGTCCCAAATGTCAGCTCCCCATCCCTCCCATTACCTCCCCCCAAAGAYTAAAGGCTCTGAGGTGAATCAGTGTCCCAAATGTCACTCCYCATCCCTCCCATTACCTCCCCCCRAARATTAAAGKCTCTGAGRTGAATCCCCCAGCCCAGCGTGTGCTGCAGAGCAGCAGCAGTGCCAGGAGGATGTGCAGGAAAACGCTTCCCACCCAGAAGGGGCTGGAGCAGSAGGGCGAGGTCCCAGCATGTGCCTCTCCTGCTCCTTAAATTGATTGGCACTTTCTATTTGAGGAAAAATGAGTTCTTAAAATTGCAATACTGGTTATTGTTATGGAAATACAGCGAGGCTGTGGCAGCAGAGATTTTAAGATACAAAAAAAAAGGTTAGTTTGAATCAAGCAGCTGCAAGGTGAGTCGATATAAAGTACTCAGGACTAATGAGTTCCGAGGGATCCACGCTTTGGGTCCAGACCCCTTTAATGCTGCTGATTCAAGTGGTGGGTGCAGGTAATCACCAAGATARCCCGAGGCCTCTGGGATCATTACTGCTTTATCACATTTTGTATAAAATATTTTCGGCCTCATTTAGAATGTCAGCCTCGATCAAACGTTTCCTGGCATTAGGAGAGCGACACAGCCCTGTGGCATCAGCGGACCTGGAATCTTCCCTGTCCTCTCCCTGGAACCCTCCCTGTCCTCTCCATGGAACCCTCCCTGTCCTCTCCCTGGAACCCTCCCTGTCCTCTCCCTGGAACCCTCCCTGTCCTCTCCATGGAACCCTCCCTGTCCTCTCCTTGGAACCCTCCCTGTCCTCTCCTTGGAACCATCTCTGTCCTCTCCTTGGAACCATCTCTGTCCTCTCCATGGAACCTTCCCTGTTCTCTCCTGGCCCAGCATCCCTGGAACCTTCCCTTTCCTCTCTCCCAAACCCTCATTCCCCTCGGGAAAGGCTCTCTTACTGGGCTGTGCCACTGAACAGGAGATCTGTGATAAAGTAAGAACAAAAGAATTGAGCCCGTATTAGCAGAACATAGTGACTGATTCCCAACATCTGYTATTGCTTTCTCTCATCTGTACCTGAAATTAGCAATTTAGGGACCATACCTTTATTTGGGAAATAATAGTACACACAGAATTATAAAAGTTTAATATGCTCTCAGTAAAATGAAAAATGAGCGGTTATGATATTGTCTAACACTTTCAAATGTGTTTATTAATTCATGTTTTAAATCATAAGTTTCATTCTGCAGGAGAGTCATACACAGCAATAAGCAAGTTTTAAAATATTAATGAATAAACAATATTTCTCTATTGAAATATAACATGCTTCTTTGAACAATGTACCAATGGTAATAAATCACAACCAGCAGAAAATTGCATTTCATATTTAATACAACTTGAACTCTGCCTTTTTATAAATGATATCTTTTTTGTTTAATTGGCGTCAGTTCAGATCTAGCAGATTGCTAATAAAATTCTGGATTTCCATACTTAATGACGCGTGCTCTT